AGGGTGCAACAAAGAATGAATGGAATCCCAAAATCTCTGTAGATGTTCATTGAAATGAAAAATAAACAACCTAAATTAAAAAAAAATATATAAAGAGACATATATAATATCTAGTAAAAATGACCAAATGACTCACACCTGATTATTAACTAAATCAAATCAAAACCTACAACTGATTGCTAGTGAAATAAAAAAGACCAAAATGTCACACTTATTTATTAATTCAATAAAAAGAACTACATTCCAGAATCAAATTGCTTCAAATAAGAGGCTCTCAGATAGGCCCAAACAACTTTTAACTATGATCATGCTAAATCTATACTTAGTCCAGAAGTTTGTTGCGTGAACAAAACAAGTGAATGCTTCATGGTTTAAAATTAAGAAGGGAGTGTATTGGGTTGCTTTCTTTCTCCATATGTATTCAATCTGTATACTGAACTAATGATTTGATAATCTGGACACTATTAAGAGGAATGGAGCATCAGGATCAGAGAGAGGCTCATTAATAACCTGAATTATGCAAATGACACAATCTTCCTTGCTGAAAATAAGGAGGGCTTGAAGCACTTGTTGCAGAAGATCTAAGAATACAGCCTTCATTATGGATTGCATCTAAAAGTAAAGGAAACAAAGATTCTTACCATTGGACCAATATGCAACATTATGATAGATGTAGAAAAGATTGACATTGTCAACAACTTCATCTTACATGGATCCACAATTAACACCCATGGTACCAGTCAGGAAATCTGGAGATATATTGCACTAGGAAAGTCTGTAGTGATGGACCTCTCCAAATCATTGAGAAATAAGGATGTCAACTTAAGGAGTAAGGTTCATATGATTCAGGCCATGGTCTTTCCCTGGAGAAGGACCTCAAGCTTGGAAGGAGGGAGGAACAGCAAAAGAGTAGGAGAACCTAGAGCGGATAGATTGACACAGTAACTGGATTAATGAGGGTAGGTGCGTCAGAGACAGTGAGATTGTTTCAGGATATGTGGGTTCAGAGTTCTTGTACATAGGTTTGCGTGAGTCACAAGTGACTTGATGGGACATAACAATAACAGCATATATTCATTGCTACAAGTTGACTCATAGCTGTCTCTCCAGGGGGAGAGTGGAAGGAGATTGTCCATCTTTCACCCACAGGGCAGTTTGTGGATTCAAACTGCTTGCCTTTGTTTGGCAGCACATTTCCCTACTCACTTGGCCACCTGCATGTTCTTTGTTTTCATAGGGGCAAGGAAATATAATAATACCAGCAACTAAGTCCAAAGACCTATTTTTGGCAACTAAGTATTTTTATTTGTCAAATTTCTTATAAAATAAAACTTTTAAATAGAATTATTTTTTGCTTTCTACTTGCTCCTGGAAACATTATTTTATAACAATACTTAAAATACACAAAACTCCACACCAGCTACTTGGATCTGAAAGGCTCTCTCTCTCACAGCACTGTTGTAGCAATCAATCACCAAACAAACTCAAACTCCTTTTTAGAATATGTAAATTTGTTAAAACTTAATATATTGTGCTTTAGGTATATTTAAGATGAAACACTGAGCAACATATATTTCATTTTGTAAAAACCTAAAATTATTGTCATCCAAGCCTTGATCATTTTCCTTTCTCTCCATAGGATTAAACTTGAAATTAGGCGATACTTTAATGCAGGAATATCAGAAATTGTGGAACACAGTCTTAACATCTGCGGAAGGTTATGATTTTGAAGGACCTTTGCCCTTAAGGAGAACTTTCAGACCATTTCTTCAACAAAAAAAAATATTACCTAGAGGTGTTCATTTTTTAAAATTAAAAATCAATGTCAAATTAGTGATATGATCCTTGCTTACAAAACACATCTAACCTTTAAATATGTTTCATTATGTGATTGAATAGTTCTATTGAATAGCTTTTATACACACAGTGTACTCTTTGACTTCTGACTATTTATAGTTTGCTTTCTTTAAGTGAGCACATGAAAACAGGGACTAACATTTATTCAGTATTTAATATGCCAGATATTGCATTATATTGTTCATGTGAGTTTTTCTTAGTTTGTGGTATACTAGCTAGTGAATTTATGAGACAGGCAAACTTTTCATGGCTTTCAGCGTGAGCATTCATAGTGTCTTGTAATATTTCCACCACATTTTCTAGAAAAAAATAGTTTTGCTACGGCTGATTTGAAGACATTCACTTGAGTTTAAACAGACCTCAGCTGTGCTGTGATTAATCACCATCAGGTTATTAGCTGCTTTCCAATTGTCCTCAACTAAAGAGGATCCACATGTATCATGAAATTTGAGTAGATTATTCATTGGCTAATTTTTGCAAGTGGATCATCAGGGCTTTCTTCCAAGTCTTCCTTTTTCTGAAAGTTCTACTGAAACCTGTTCAACATGATAGGTAACTGGTGATTGTACTTGAGGTGTTCGTTGATTGAGAAATCAAGCCATTCTTCTTCGGCATGGATGGCAAAAATTCCATCACCAATCCATCAGTGACTTTGGTTAAGAGAGCAGACTTACCTATGTATGGAGTTGCCATGAGTTTGAATTGACTCCATAGCAACATTTTTTCTTTTTATTCAATATGGAAATTTTTCATTCTAGCTTTAGAAAAAATAATGGATATTTTTTGCTTAAATTATGTCATAGTTTATCAATTATGATAAAATATAAATGTATTTAATAAGAGAATAATTTTTAAACATATTTTTTATTTACTTGCATCCAATCATTTATATACACTTTGTATCATGTATGAATATTGTGTTTTATAGATTTTTTCATTTAAGATGTATTTCATTCATGTACATTTTGTTTTATACATTCATATACATTGTATTTTACATAACTAATTACTATTGAGCTTTTCATATGATCTCCCTATCGTCATAATTATTCATATTATCATCCTATCTTTTTCAAGTCCTCATTGAATCTTTTCTACTCCTTCGCTCACACATGCAGTCATTAACATCTGCTATCTCTTCTTCCCTCTTCCTTGTTCTGCCCCTTTCTCTCTTTCCCATCCCCCTTTTGAATATTTATACATAACTTGCTAAGTTATCTTTCTATTTTCACAGTATTATTTTTTACTTCTGAATATAGACTTTTTTCCTATCTTTACTATGTGTTAATTTTAGGGAGTTTTCAATGGAAAAATAGAATTCTTTCTCCTTTTCCTATTAATTCAACTCAACTCAACTAATTAATGGTCAGAAACTATGAATCAACTTAGAGTTGAAACTCCAACAGGTTGTCAGAGCCTATAAATATCTTGGAAGAGATTGTCCTCCTTTTTCCTAGGAAACCATTGATGAGTTTCAATCAGCAGAGAGTCACTGCTTTTAGTTTAACTGCACAGCTCTCTGACTATACAACCAGAGCTCTATAGTCCTGGAGTCAACTCCATTTTTTCCCCTGTAGCCAAGAACAAATACTTTACTTATTTGGATTATAAGGATTCATTTACTATATTTCTCAAAGACATGCCATATAAACTGAAGCAGCATTCTACTCAGTTTACTCAAATATCTATTTTAAGTTAGCGAATTCGCTTAATTTGTAACAATTTATAAAATATGTATTTGACTTAAATACCCTGATATGCAATCATTTTATTGAGTATTATTTACTTTGCAAAAATGAATAGAAAGTGTTAATTTTAGTATTAAAAATACTATTGAACGACAATGAACAGTTTCAATTAGATTTTGATGTTGTAACATTAATTGCTTTTCTGAATTTTTTTCAAGTATCAAACCAAGAAATTCATAAGTCAGGACTCATTCCTCTGAAATCTGATATTATAGAAGATTATGCTGGAGATATTCTTGCAGAACTACCTTTCCTGAGCAGGTATTTAGAGAATATATATATATATATATATACAAGATTTGTTATATATATTTATCAACTGATTTTTAAGTTTCACAGTAGATCTATTCCAATGGAAATTGTAGAGAATGACTTTCTTCCTAGTGTATTAATATTTTTAGAAAGATATCTTCTTTAAATTACTTTATTTCATTCCTAGCATGTAAAAATATTATAAATCATGTCATGTTCTTTGTAATTGGTATGACATGATTTACACTATAATTAATGGAGTAACTTTCTATAGTATGGTAAGAGTCAAAATATAAAAGCTTATAAGACTGATGCTTGCAGATAATCTTAAAATTGTGAAGAATGGCGATAAAGGAAGTATTAAAGACAAAAACAATAATCTACATTCAGTGAAAAAAATGTAAAAAAAGGATGACCACTTCAATAAAAGAAATTGTTGGAATTGACACTTAAAAAGGCATTATTTATCCGAAAATTTATTCATTGCATTGGAGGCAGGAGTGGCATCCACTTCCTTAATGGCTTGCCCCTGGAAGAAACCCTATGAACCTGGAGAAAGGACAAAAGTTATATGTCCAGGATTTTTGTTCATAGGGTCACTATGAGTTGCCTACGACTCGACAGCACTTAACAACAACAACAACATATAAAATTTACAGAGAGCTCTGGTGGCCTAGTGACAAGAAGCTGTGCTGCAATCCCAAAGGCACATGGTTCAAGGCCTCCAGCTGCTCTGAAGGAGAAGGATGGGCAATCTCCTCCCATAAAATTAACTGCTTTTGAAAACCCACGAGAGGATCATCTATGGATCAGTTCTGATTCTATAGTACACAACAACAACAGTGATGTAAAATTTAAATATGCCTGACTGTTCTTTACTTCTGTTTTCTAATCTCTTGGTCAGTTCTGCATAGATGACATATTTTTCAGTAGAGTAGAAGGAAAAGTGGTTTGAGTCAACAAAAGGAGTACTAAAGTTGTTATGTGCCATCATTTTGTTCTGAGTCAGAGTCATAACACTATGTTACAATAGAAGGAAACACTTTCCAGTTCAGGTTTATTTTCACAGTTGTTGCTACATTTGAGGCCATAAATTTAGCCACTGTGCCAATTAATGTTTTTGAAAATTTACCTCTTTTTTTCCTGACCATCTATTTTACCAAGTATGACGTATGTCTTCAGTTTCTAGTACTTTCTGCTAATATATCCAAAATAGATGAGACAAAGTGTCACATCTTCACTTCTAAGGAGCATTCTTGATACACTTCTTCCAAGCATGTTCTTTATCATGATTTGACGCAAAGACCAGATATAGGAGGATTTTTCTTTATGTTCAAGTGCAATGTCTACTATAGGTTGTAGCCTCTAATTTTCATTAACAAATGGTTTACTCAACAAGTAAGTTCATGTCTACATACAGAAGACTGTTAAGTGAGTCTCCCTCCATTCCTGATGCTATGTTCTTCATACGGTGATGATTCTCAGGTTATTTTTGTTGTTGTTATTATGTGCCATCAAGTCACTGGTGACACATACAACAACCCTAAAATCTGCTCTATTCTGTGACAACATTACTGTCTCTGATACATCTACCCTCATTACCCCAGTCACTGTTTCAATCAATCTCATCAACGGTCTCACTCTCTTTTTTTACCCCCCCCCCACCCTTCCAAGCATGGAGTCTCTCTTCAAAGACATGTTGCTCCTTGCAACTTGCCCAAAGTATGTTAGATGAAGCATCAGAATCCTTGCCTTAAAGGAGCAGTCTGGCTTCACCCTCTGTAAGATGAACCTGTTTGTTCACCTGACAGTCAATTGGTATATTCAACAGTCTTCTCCAAAACCACAGCTCAAAGACATCAATTCTCTTTCCATCATCCCTACTCATTGTTCGATTCTCTGACACATAGTAAGCAATTGTGAAGACTATGGCCTGGATCAGGTGCACCTTCATCTCCAGACTGATGATGTTGTTCTTCAGTACTCTGGAGAGTCCCTGATAGCTGACTTTCCCAGTGCAGTTCATCTCTTGATTCTGGTTGCTGGTCTATTTACTCAGCTAAAAAATGAATAAGTTGTTGAAAGAAAATAACTCTGACAAAGATTTTTTTTAAAAAAATTTATTTTAAACCTTCACCATTTTATTGTTTCTGTTCTAACAACTTCTTCTTGGTTTAATGCAAGTTAAGTACAGATTCACAATTAAATATTCTGTATTTTTTATGTTATTCATTGTTTGTTATTGGCCACAAACTTGAATACATTTGCATTAACTATAAAATCTAAGTAAATATGTTTCTGCTATTTGCTACTTTTATCCAAGATCTATCTGGCATTAGAGATAATATTTCTCATTTCACTCAGGTTGTTAGCTTCACTTCAGAATTAAACTTGTTTTCCAATTTATATATTGCAGCAACTCTTGTTAAAATTTCCTTCAGCAATTAATTATCTTGTTGGACAATTTCCATATTCTCTTGAATTCATCTTTACCTTTAAAACATACAAATATAGATATCTTCTGGTTGGTTGATTAGGTAGTCATTTTTCAAATGTCTTGGTGTGAGTGAGTACTTTTGGCATTGTATCTGTTTATTGAAACATTTTAATTGGTGTCTCATCAGTTCCTAGATCATTTTTACCACCAATAGCTTCAGTGCTACCTGGGCTTCACTGTCTTCACTATTAGTGTATGCTATCTGACATATGAAGTGGTTGAATGGCAATCAGTTCTTTTGGTACACTGTGTCTTTGCATTTATTCCGTCTATGTTATTGCATATTTTGCTGCTAGGACATTTCTACAACTTGAGGCTTGGCTTTTTGTATTCACTTCTTTCCTTTTGAAAAAGGACTAGCATCATTTCCTTTCGAGTTTCCAATTCTAAGCCTTTGAATATTCCATTATAATATTTTGTCATACTTTGAAATCTGCTCAGCTATTTTATTTCATTGTTTCTTCCATTAACTTTAGATACTCTACATTCAAGAACAAGTTTCAGAGTTTCTTTTGACACTCATTTTGTTCCTTTCTATCTTGACTTTTTAATGACCTTTTGTCATTTTGTGTCATCTCACCACATGTCAAGTGACTATTTGAAGTAGGAATATATATAAGGTTTTGTTCTTGAAGACTTGTTTTCTTTTTCTTTGGTTTCAACTTGAACTTTCATTGGAGCAATTGATGACTCTCCCATAATTAGTACCTGTCTTTGTTCTGTTTGATGATATTGAGCTTCTCCATGATCTCTTATGACAGATACATTAAATGAGTTCTGGATGTTGTTGTTGTTATGTGCTGTTGAGTCACCCGCAACTCAGTGACCCTATGTACAACAGCTCTAAAGCCTCCATTGCCTTAGTTACTGTAACAATCCATCTCATCCGGGTCTTCCTTTCCTGAGTTGTCCCTCTATCCTTCTGAGTGTGATGTCCTTCTCCAAGGACTATTCCCTCCAGGCCACATGCCCAAAGTATGTGAGATGGAGCTTCGAACTCCTAGCATTCAAAAAAAGAAAAAGATGAAATATGTTTACGGCATTGAAGTCTATGGGGGAGAGAATAGTCTAAAAGTATTATATTTTAGGGCATTATTTTTATCGTAGGAGTATGCATTGAGGGTTGTAGAGTGGATTATATTTGGGGCTAGGG